TCAATTTACCTTTTAGGGGAGGATATAAAATTTTCTAGCCCAAAGACTTAATGAAGCTCATAACAATAGCAGGGAGATCCAGTGTTCAAAATATCTCTTCCTCAAGTTGTGAATTGCTTCCAGTAGGTTGCAGCCATTTAGAATTTCCCATTTTGTCACATCCCATTTTTGGGAGTTATCACAGTCAATGCCCTGCTGTATCCTGAGTTTTTATCTGTTCATCCCCAGACTTGGTATATACAATCTACACCTCCTTAGCTATGTTTCATGCACCAGAGTTTAATCCTTAAAATGTTTGGTTCTTGTGTTATAACACCAACTTTGTCCAAAAAATCATGTGACATTACTTTTGATCAGTGAGTGTACAAGCTTTATTTCCGGAACTATTTATTCTGACATAGCAAGGGAAATCTACTACGGAAAGATTAATAAAGAAAAAAATTCCAAAGTCAGACAGAAACACCATAGCGATGAGAACCAGATTGGAATGGCTTTATCTCGTGAAGTCCGTCTGTTTGGAAGATCTCTCCAATCACTATTGAGTGCCAGGTGGCATCCACAGTCGCGCCGGCTAAACAACATGAGAGGCTACACGGTATTCCTCAATAACAATTCCCACTTACCCCAGTTTGATATGCCTGTAAGACGCTTTGAAAAGGATGGGTTCTCCATTTTATCAGAAGCACTCTGTGCATATGTGAACACTATCGGCTGACCCTCTTTTGAGCCCGGAAAATCATCAGTGAGAAGGGCGATGGCATCGCCATCGCTCAAGGTGACCTCTCCATCCTCGTTCTCAAGCAACTGAACATGGTGACCTGAGACCCCTTCTACATGGGCAAGATGATCTTTCAAGGAAGCAACTGTTTGCGGTGGCGGGATGGTAAATATGTCAATGCGACCCAAAGAAGAGTTGCTCTCGTCAAACGACATTTTCGAGACAGCTTTGCCATCATCGTCGTAAAGTCGGTAATGCACTGATGAGCATGAGTTTTTGCGTTGTTGAGACCAAAACCACAAGGCGCACCAAAACATTGTTCAATCTTCCATACGGACAATCTATTCGAGCCTGCATTACTAGCAGATTTGAGTTTCTTCTCAGCGGCAGGGCCCTTATCAACAACGAGAACTACAGGGTCAACCTCAGATGATCCTGGCCCAGAGTTCTCTCGGAGTGCAAGACGAGCAGAATCGTCCAAAGGCTTTTTTTCTGACAGCAACAGATACTTGAAAGCGCCCTTTCCCGAGCCTTCCATGCCTTCAATCTTGCAGACGTACCTCTTCAGCGAGGCTGCTGTGTGAGGGGGTCTCACTGATTTCGACAAGATATGACTGATGAAGCGATCATTAGAGAAGATCGGGTTGTTTGATTCGAGTCGGCCTTCTTTGGTATATAACCGATAGTATACTGCATGCATTATGTGAGATAGACGATGTATATGACAAAGAGTACGCACTATTACGGTGTTCGCTTTTCGTTTGAGATACCTAATCTATCATTCAAGACCAAAAGTGCCGAGACTGACACAGAACTTACTGGTTCAGTTCCTCCCTGCCCATCCAGAAAAGCTTGGCCAGCGGTGTTCTCAACTTTACGTGCTTGGCCATCGTGAGGTCGTAGGTTGCAACAGCAGGTGGGCGCTTGACGGTGGGTGCTTTCTCCTTGTGCCTTAACCGCGGCTATCGTCGATGACACTCTTTTCACTGATAGTAGCACTCTTTTGACCACTCAATGACCACCCAACATTTGGCAGGCACGCGCACCGCCAGTCCAAGTTCTCCTATCCATAATCAGAAATATGCGATACAATGGCATTCAAGCGGCGCACCCAAGCTTGGTTTTATAAGTTGGTGAGTCTTCTTTCCGGATGCCCAATGCAAAGAGAAGGGGTGTATTTGGCTACCAAAACTCTACCAAACACACGTGACTATAAATAATTTGTAGAGGCTCTCATTTCGTTGCTCAGATTCAAACCACCACCACCACCAGCACCACCATCACCCCTGACTGATCACGCCTAGATTGTATCGCCTTCCTCTAGCGAACACTGGTAAGTACCCTTAACTTTTCTATTTATCTCGCCTTTCCGATGTTCGCCTCCTCATGCTGCTGCTCACGCCTAGTAAGCCACAACTATCTCGCTAGCTTCCAGACAAGCTAATTCTATGTTGCTCACGCCTAACGCTATGCGATTTCAGTAGTCTCTATGTAACCTTGCCACCGCAATATCATCGCTTACTTGGACATACAAGCCCTCAGTGCATCACAGCCTCTCTCTGATGTTTGCCTCTTCATGCCACCACTCACGCCTAGTAAGCCACACAAGCTAATTCTTTATGTCAGCCACTCACGCCTAACGCTATGCGATCTTGATAGTCTCTATGTAATCTCGTCGCCGCAACATCATCGCTTCCTTGGACAGCGCATTACCACCGCATTACCATCTAGGCGAGCCATCCATTTCCGTTTACAAGTCAGATATCGCCACGGTCACATCTCCTATTGCGTGGTGGCCTCAAGCCTAAGCATGGTAAAGTAGCCGCATGCCTTGCCTGGATGTGTAATCAATCCAGGTATTGGCGTGTTGGCATGGCCCCTCCTGTCAGGGGGGCCGGAGTGACACACCATCTGCCAGGACTGACGCTGGATGAAGGTTGACTTGGTTTCAACATGGTGCATAAGTGGCTTTTTCTTTCTTGTGGCAGGTTTGGCCTCGTCAACACGCGGTGCATTCAAATATGGGTGAGTCCAATATAACTATCGACTTCACTCCGTTGCCTTACCGTTTATGTCCAGCAGCGTCTATACGACGGCGATTTTCTTTCTGGGCGTGGCGTTTTTAACTGGGCGGGCTCATGCGCTTATTGTAAACTCTATTCATATTATTGTTTTGTCAACCACCTAACACGCATCCTTCGGGGCCACCAGCTCATACCTTCACAGATGCAATTAGCGGGTACCCTTTCATTCGCAGAACAACCACTCCCCATGCCACACATGTCCTAAAGCATCCTGGGTACTGGTGTTACCCGGGTGTGGAAAGTCGCTTCTTCATGGATGCGTGGGCAGGCAGATGTGTGCTTGCACACCTGGATGATTGTTGGGGGCTTCCTCGAAGGTCCCGAGCATCGTCTCACCAGACGTGGCACCGCTGACAACGGTGAAGCAGCGGTTGGTTGTTTCTGTTGTTGAACTGGGTACTCAGTGTGGGGCACTTTGACTCTGGTGAGGACACCTTCGTTTCACATGGTTTTATTTTAACACGATGCTGTTTATTAAAATGAATTATCTTCGCAGCCCAACTTCGACTTCAGCTCATGTTTCATCCAGTATATGTGCTTTGTGAGTCAACGTTGCTTTTGACCCCCCATTTTCGCTAAATTGACAGTTGCAATGTCGTGCACGTCCGTTTCTTTTATTTCTTCTTATTAGTTACTCTCTTCCCTTCCCAGTCACGAATCCCGGTCGCAGCCCTCTCGTTTTTTCTTTTTTCGTTCATCACTTGAACTTGTCTCGATCTATATATTATTGTCCACCACATTCCCCGTATGACGAAATATCTACCAGATCATATAAAGTTGGAAAAAAAAAAAATCTGTGGTGCTCTGTCTCCTTTCCCCAATTTTGCATTTCGTTTGAAGCTTTTACACTCCGCAAACATATATTTTTCTTGCACATGACACGACCATCTAGAAATCGAGGTCTACTCGGTTTTATAGCTTTTCATACAAGCCTAAAACCCGCGCCTAGGCACGGCGCTCGTTGGCGCTCAGCCATTCCTTCACTGCGGGTTACGGCTCGCCGGGAGCAAGCCCCTTGACCCCCTGGAACGGGCATCTTCAATTCCAGTTTCAGTACACATTTTTCATCCCAACCCCCATGTACATTGTTAATTCTAATCTATATATGTTGGTGTAAATTAATGCTACATCTACATATATTATAAACTGTGCTTCACATTGGCTTCACAGTAAGAAACTTTTATAAGGCTGGTTTTGAATTCTAATATCTGTATGTGCCAAGTTCACTCCCTATTTCACTTGGCTGCTCCTACAACATGGCATGCTGGGGGTAGGCCCTCTAATCCCAGTTTTTTTCAAACACTATCTTGCAAAATTCAAATTGGTTCTAAATACCCATTCAAACTGAGCCTTGATGATTTTTTATATACCTTTTATAAATGGTACTCCTACTTCTGATTTACATCTTGTTACTCTACCATGCCCCAATGTTTCTCATATTCTTTTACTACAAACCCACTTTTATCATGCCATAAGACATTAACATGAAAACAATAAACATATTTCCCTTATTTCCTTGGCTTTCCCAATCTTTCTCATTGTGGATTCTGGAATGATTTTTTTTTTTGGATTTAGATTCTATATGCAAGTTTGGAAAAAGATTGGACTGAAAAGGAAACCATCAGAGGAGGTTGAAACAACAATGTACCTTTTGCTCAAAATTAATTATCATATCTGCAGGAACATCTTGAGTTGAAGGAATCAAAACAATCTGTATTGAAAGCAAATTTTCTTCTACAGAGACTAGGCTCCTTGCACTGGGAAATGGGTCTCCTGTGCTTTTTGGACATTGGCCATAGTGGCAATTGTATAGGAGAAATTTGCTGCAGGTACTCTGCTTTTTATGTCCTGAGCTAGGATGACTAGCTTCTCAGCATCTGTGTATCTGCCCAGATTTTTAAAGGTTAATGCTAATTTTCCATAGCTTGGATGGTGTGGGGGTGTTCCACTCCGATAATTCTTTTTCTTGCATCCAGAACTTGGATCTGCAGCTTCTCTGCCTCTGTGTATTTTCCTAGTTTATAATAAGTTGATGCTAGATTTCCCTTGGCATGGATTGTGTCTGGGTGTTCCACTCCAAGAATCCTGGTCCTTGCATTCATTACTTGGATCTCCAGCTTCTCTGCCTCTGTGTATTTTCCTGTGTTTCCATATATTGCTGCTAAATGTTTCATGGCTAGAATGGTGTCTGAATTTTCCACTCCAAAAATTCTGTTTCTTGCATCCAGAACTTGGATCTGCAGTGTCTCTGCCTCTGTGTATTTTCCCAGGCACCTAAATGTTACTGCTAGATTCCCCATGATGTGGATTGTGTCTGGGTGTTCCACTCCAAAAGTTCTGGTCCTCACATCCAGAACTTGCATCTCGAGCTTCTCTGCCTCTGCATACTTTTCCAGGCAT